CTACCAATTTGGTGAGAAAACAAACTAATCTGTTTAACTCACTTTGATCACATTTCTTATTGACCTAACTCATATCTTGTTTATTTCTGAAAATGCTTGTACTATCTGTCTCTCTTTAATCTACTTTATCTCAGTCTGTCTCTTCTGATTCCATTTAAACATAACTATCATGGTATGCTTTTTTTCTCTTTTTTATGATTCATGTCTCATTGTTCTCTTGTCTAATTGTTTTTTTTTGTTTCAAGTTGTGGTTCTAGTTTCAATTGTAAAATCTTTTTTTCATAAAACATTAAATAAGACATTTCAACTGCATAATTTTGTTGCTTGTCCCTAATTTACCCTTGATCACCACAATTTCTCTCTTCTTTTGCAGTCCCTTTGTCCCACACACCTGCAGCTAAACATGGGGAAAATTGGGAAGGAATTCACCTGTGTTAGTTAAATTTTTCTGAGCTAAGCCAACCAAAATTTGGATTTTTCTTCTCTTATATCCTAAAAGGGGGAGAGCTGGCTGTGTCAGCTCCATCATGCTTGAGTAGTGGTAGGATGTTGAAATCCAAAGTGGAGACAAAGTTTCCCAGTCAAATGGTCTGTGGCTGGCTGTGAATTTCCTGCCCAACTGCAGGTTTTGGGTTCAATCCCCACTGGAGCCATCCCTGATTGGGGGTTAGTGGGTTGGGGGTTGGGGGGTTGCAGGTCAGGGGGTTGGGGTTGCAGATCCTTAACTGAACTTGTACCATCCCAGAGCAATGCACATTGATAACTATGTGACATGTCTATGAACTGACTGGTGAAAGGTGTATAACTGATGAAAAGAAGAAAAACTAAAACTAGTGAACTGGATACATCAGCAGTATTCCCACCACTAGGGGGTATCAAATATAACCAAATCCACCATTATTTAATTGACTGGTTTGAAAAAATCCACTGTTTTTTAAAAATGTAGGTTATTCATTCAACCCCTTTTGGGGTCCAATGATGCAAAAAAAAAGTTTTGGGAAAAGTGACTGGTTTCTAATGGTGGATTTCCTATATTTGATACCCCCTAATGAACAAATTGAATTTAAGTATGGTTTGTGCTATTCTCAAAGAGTAAAAGTAAAATAAAAGGAAACGCAACATTATATTGTGGGATATCAAATAAAAAAAGGGGGTAGGAAAAACAACTCCAAAAAATTCATCGACGACTCCCATTTTGGCCGAGGGGTTGTCAGACGGGAGTCGTCTTTCCAATCCCCCCCTGGGGGATTGGGAGTCAACCTCCCAATTGATTTTTTTTTGGTGGGAGTTGGCGCCCAAAACCCTCCTTGGCAAGTAAGAGGTTTGGGAGTTGCCTCCCTCCCACTGGCCGGGGGGGATTCCCTCCGTTCATCGAGACTGTACAGTCTCAATTACCGGAAGAAATCCCTTCCGGTCATCAAATGGTCTTGATGACTGGAAGGAATCCCTTCCGGTCATCAAATGGTCTTGATGACTGGAAGGAATCCCTTCCGGTCATCAAATGGTCTTGATGACTGGAAGGAATCCCTTCCAGCAATGGTGGGCCAGTTACACTAACCATAGTGTTAACTTTTTAAGCTACACTACACAAAAGTTACCGTCAGCGGGAATTTTTGGCCCACTAACACTACAGGATTTTTGAAAAACAAAAAAACAACTTTAGCGTAGTGTTAGCTACCTTTAAAAAGGCACAACTAACACTACCCAAAATCCTGTTAGTGAAATTTTAGCGGTGTTAGTGGGTGAACCCACTACACTACATGTTAGTGTAACTTTTTGCAAAGTTACACTAACAGTTAGTGTAGTGTTACCCTCATTTACACTAACTGTTAGCATAACTGGTGAAAAAGTTACACTAGCTGTTAGTGTAACTGAATATGTAGTTACATGACCACATGACTAGTGCTAGTATACCCTGAAGACAGTGCCTGATTGGGGGGGGCTACATCCAGATCCCCTCAATTGATCATCATTTTTTTCAGTTGGTACTGGGGGCCACTCAATTTTAGCCCCCTGCCATTTCTTAACACTTACTTGTAAGACCACATTCCCCTGTCAGACTACCTTGAGACCATGGGTTCAAGTCCCCCTCTGACCATATTTTACTGGGTTCCATTCCCACACTTACTTGTGTTCAATTTCCACTTTCACATCATGCAGCAAGGGGGGGGGGGGAGGGTTGAGGTATATGATAGTCTGCTACCATTATGTACCACCAGAGTGTGGTGGACATGTTGGCATGGGCCATGACAACTACCACCCAACTGACCTGGCAAACACAAGCATCTGTAGCCTACACTACATGCAAACGGTTGACGTTTGGCCAAACGTCAACGTGATGTTTGATGTGCAAACTTCAGCCAAATGGCGGGGCTGGGCTGACGTTTGTGTCGAACGTCACGTCGGCGTTACCCAGCAAACGTCGCCCGTTTGCATGTAGTGCTAGTTGCTAAGGGAAGCACTCTTGTATATGACTCAGCATTTCTGTGGTTGTGAGTTCAAATTTCACCAGGCACATCCCCAGTTTTTTTTTCTCCACATCTTGTGCTGTTCATCAGCGGTGGGCCACTACCCTACGCTACGCTTTTGGCTCAAAAAGCGTAGCGTAGCGGCACTTTTTTCATCAAAAAACTGTAGTGTTAGCATTTTTTAGCGGTTTTTTGCTACGCTACGCTGCGCTACAGCACTTTTAGCGGAAAAAGCAGCCAAAAACCGCTGTAGCACAGCGTAGTGGGCCCTTTTTTGCGGCCCACACGCGTAGCGTTAGCGGTGTCATGGCGGAATCCCGCTACGCTACACTTAGCGCTAACAGCGATTCCGCTGCCTTATGCTACACTAACCGCTACTGTTAGTGTAGCCGCCCACCGTTGTGTTCATTTTCTGAGGGATTGTATGCAATCACAGGACATTAAAAATTGTCACTGTGGACCTCGGCCGTATCAGTCATATGAACATTTCACATAGGTTGTGAAAAAATCCAGCTTGACCCATCAATTTCTCTAATTGATGAGTTACACTAAGCTACATGTTTAGTGTAACTTCTAATGTAGTATAGCGTAACTAGGCATGTAGTTTAGTGTAGTGTAGCTTAATCTGGTATAAGTTACGCTAAATGTTAGCGTCAACTCAGTTACGCTGTTGGTTAGGGGAAGTTTTGTTAGCTTGGAAAAAGTTACGCTACTTTTTAGTTTTGTGGCAATTATTTCAAGCTAACACTAAAAACAATTTGAGGGAAAAATTTTACGCTACGCTGGCAGTTAGCTCAGCGGTGTGTAGCGTGAACTAACACTACAGGATTTCTAGCAAAAAAAAGCAACTATGCTAACATGTAGTGGCCAAATAGTGTAGTGTAGCATAGTGGCCCACCGTGGCTTCCAGTCATGAAATGGTCTTGATGACCAGAAGGAATCCCTTCCGGTGTAAGACGCAAAAGTGGTTATGAAACCCTTTTGTTGAATTGAGAAGGGGAAAAATGGAGGTGCAAACTCTTCCCTTCTTTACTATCAGAAAAAAGAACCACCAAGCTGAGCTTGGAAAGTTTTAATAATGTGATAGGATTTGTTGGTTCCGGTATAAACTTTGTTTTATGAAAAATAGAGGTTGAATATATAATTGCTGATAAAATAAAACTGTTGTGTTTGTTGAAACCTAAGTGACATCCCTCTATGACTCTAGTGGACCAACTAGCTATGACATCATCTTCTTCTCTTGGCTCTCAGACAAACGATCAGACTCTCTTTATTCTCTGCAAGAACACGCTCGATCCTCGCTTCAGCAATCGCTCGATCCTCCTCCAATCGCAACCCTCGAATATTCAGAACGTCGGTTGAGTCGTCTTTCTTGGCAATTGGAAAACCAGCGAGGTAGCCGGAGTAGTTGTCGACTAAGGTGAGGATGAAACGGGACTGGATTCTTGACGTTGGGGTGATTGGCCCAATGATGTCGAGGTGAATTCTTTCAAAGACCTTTGACGCTGGATGTGACTCTTCCTTGAAGGGTTGTTTGGTGATTTTGGACAAGACGCACGCTTTGCATTCGAAGTTGTCTTGTTCGTGTTAGAATACGAGTTTGCACAACTGCGTATACAGGATACGCAGTCATGCAAAAACTCAAGCGCAATTTTCACTCTCCTCAGAACACTAGACCTAACCTAATCCATCCCTCGATTCACCCATAAAACCACCGCCCGCAACCGCAAACGCTAGTTTCCCTTTCTTCACACGCTCAAAACACATTGCAAGTGAAGAAAGAGAAACTAGTAAGTCACAACCCATATCGTCAGAAACCTCATCAAAACTTCGAAATCAGGACTAACACTATTTTTTCTCTTTAACTATTTCTTCCTTGTTTGTTTCACTACTTTCAGATTATCTCTCGCGTGTCCTTCCAACATAAAAATTTATTCCTAAACTAAATCACTCGCTACGCTCGTGCAGGTATGCACTCATCTCTTATTTTCTCTCATTGATCAAACTATTTCTCTTCTACTTTGATTCACCGATCATTTCTTTTCTAACAATCATGTTATCTTTTCTTCTGTCATCTCTTTCTCTAATAGGTGTGTGTGATCTAAGGTGTCTTCGTTGTTATTGGCAAACAACTCAGACTCATAATTATTATCATCATCAGGTGTGACTTTGTTTTTCATTCTTTATTTTTCTCTATCATATTAAAAAGTAATACACGCTCAAAACACATTGCAAGTGAAGAAAGAGAAACTAATTATCTCTCGCGTGTCCTTCCAACATAAAAATTTATTCCTAAACTAAATCACTCGCTACGCTCGTGCAGGTGTGTGTGATCTAAGGTGTCTTCGTTGTTATTGGCAAACAACTCAGACTCATAATTATTATCATCATCAGGTGTGTGTGATCTAAGGTGTCTTCGTTGTTATTGGCAAACAACTCAGACTCATAATTATTATCATCATCAGGTTTCGTGCGCAAGTTGTGCCATCATTACATGGTAGCGAGAGCTTTCAGATCGAAAGTTAAATCAACATGCCACAAGCCGTCGATCCAGTCATTGAGATCCAAAAAAATGTGATCAAAAATGCATCCCACCGCGGAGGAATGATCCTCAGCAATGATCAAGCCCATGCTTTCGGACTATCGGGTACTCTGAACAAAATCAAAGGAATAGAGTCACTCACCGACAGCAACTTCATGGTCTGGTCGCGACAAATACTCGGATCGTTAGAAATCCTTTTCCTTCACGGTTACGTAGTCGATAAGTTTTATGAAGACAACGGCGTATCACACGACGTCAACAACATCAATAGACGATGCATCCTTGAGTTCCTGTACTCAAGAATGGATTCCGACAACTCTACCAGATTCCGAGCCGCATACAACGATATAGTCATACCGATCGTAGATGTGGAAGAAGAAGATGAAGACGAGGAAACCGAACAGATCATTCGCCAGATTCCCGAATCCGTCAAAGGACCAGCTCACCTCTGGACCGCAATAAAAACTTTTCACCAATCGGATAACGAGGCAAACCTATACCTCATCCAATCCAAGATAGAGAAATTCACTCAAGATTTCAAGACCTCAATCACCGCACACATCGATGCTTTCTCCAAACTCAAAAGCGAGCTAGCTAACCGAGGAGGGCATATCAACGAAGCCCAACTCGGCAGAAGACTTCTCCATTCTTTAAGCGACACCCACAACAATGAAGTCAGAACAATTCTCCGAACGGTGAAACCAATCACCACACGCGCAGTCATCGACGCTCTCAAACAGTATGAGGATGAGAACTTAGAATTCTCATTCTACAATTCCAGCAAGATCAACACCGGAATGAGCAATCTCAAACTCGCCAACAACACCTCCAAGCCCAAACAAACAGGACCTCGACAGAAATGCACCCTGTCACGATGCCTTGGTCCGCACCCAGCCAACAAATGCTTTCAACGTCCAGAAAATAGCTGACGCTCAAAGAGAATGGTTCAAACAGCGAGGCCTCACACCGCCTAACGCCCACAACACCGAGTCCAACAATCAACACTCAAGCCCA